ATTAATAATAAAATTATTTTTTTTTTGCCGAAATTTGGTAATTTAAAATATTTTTAAATTTGCTTTTGTATTAAAAATTTCTGAAAAATATATTAATAAAATTATTTTTTATTGCGGAAATTTGTTGTAAATTTCTACAAATATTTTCCGTTTATTTTTGTTTTCTAATAATCTGTTTTAAAATTATTTTTTGGATAAGTTGATCTAAATTTTAACAGAATTTTGTCTCCGATCATGTTTGTTATTGTTTTGAAATGATATTTATTTTATTGACATGAAACCAAATTTGGAATTATTGTGCGTTCTATGTGATTCTACATTTCTTCATTGGACAACCATTAGATATCTACGTTCTTTACTACAATAGTACAAATTCTAGGTAGATTTTATTTCAAGATTTTTTAAAATTTTTTTTTCAGATCGAAAATGGAAAAAATTCTTGTCTCATAGGGTACCTAACCAAATAGTAGTTTTTAGAAAAAAATTCAAGTTTCTCTAAACGATTGGAATGAAAATTTAATTGAATAACGAAACCATAACCATTGTTATATACAAGAAAATGGGAAGGGGGACTTGCAATAACTGCATCAAATTTATTTTCGTTTTCGAGAAACATGTCAAAATAGATATTATTTCTATATTTTTTTTTCTCTATTTCTATTACTTTTCTCTAAAAACCCGGTAAGAATTTCTTGAGTACTTCCACAATTGTCTCTATATTCTATTCTATTTTGTTATCAAAAATAAAAGAAATATTTATTATTTATCCATAAATTTTACTCAACTCCCTCTGCAAGACATTAAAAATGATATTTAAAAAAGTAAAAAAAAAAAAATCAAAAATTTCACAAAAAATTGTTGTTATTGCATTGTTAAGTTCTGTTTTATTGAAAATATTTCTTTGATTATCAATTTTTTATTTATTTTTTGGTAATTTATTTAAATTATGAAATTTGTCTATAAAACATGGGAATTTATTTTTGGTTTAAATTTAGTAGATTTAGGTTATTACATGTTTTGTTGCTTGTTTTTGTTGTTGTTTGTTGTATGTCTATTTTGTAATGGATTTATGTATTTGTAACTTTCAAGCAGGTATCTCTTTTTACAGCTCATTCTCTATAATTTATAGGTACTCTTTTTTTGAAATATATATTGATCATTATAATGTTATTTTATGTATTGTTTATATTTGGGAGAAATAATATTTTCAGAAATTTGTAAAGAAATTTTAGAATGATTTCATAGAATTTTTTAAAACAATTCTGAAATTTATTTTTTTTTTTGAAAATGCATTTCTGTTTAATTTTAAATAATATTAGTGAAGCATTCAATAATCACTTGATTCTGAAGGAAACAAAATTTTCAGAATTTCGTGGGAAAATGGTTAGAATTTTTTCATGTATTTAAAAAAAAAATGGAATTATTTTTTTGAAAATGCATTTCTGTTTAATTTTAAATCATTTAATTGAATCATCCAATATTCACTTGATTCTTGGTTGTATTATTGTGAATTGTTGCTCTTACAAAAGTAAAGCATACTTTTAGGCTCCATAAAGTAACTGCACGGAATTTAAGTACAACCGAATAATGGCGCAATGATTGTTTATTCCATGAACCGAACATTTCATTATTATAAACTAACTTACCAGGAATTGTATAAATTGAAGTATACCTTAAGGCGTACTGTAAATTTGTTTGTTCTGTTGGAAATTCTAATAGTTTTTCGAATTTGCAAATAACTTTCTTAATTTTGTTATTGAAAACAATCACAGTTTTCTTAAAAACAGCCAAACATAGTAGCTTTTATTTTGCCTTAATTTTCTTTTGACATTGCGAAGCAGCCCCATTTACAATGGCATTTTAATTGAACAAATATCAAAAATAAACAAAAAAAAAAAAAAAATAAATGCTTCCTAGTGAATATGTTTTAGACATTTTGAAAAAGTCACATAGTTTCATAGATATGTGGGCACTAGAAGAGGATGACACTAGTTTCGAAAGAATCTGAATAATTCACATTTCAAATACTTAAAACTCTGACAGTATGCCGGCTCTGATTCTAGGACAATTTTTTGACTATTCGAAATATATTTCAAAGTGGAGTCTTCGGATTTCTGTTAAAATTTTTAATATTTTTAACTAGCTTTCTTATTCAGGTGTCGTTAAGTTAAACAGAAGTAACAAATTTGAAATTACAACAATTAACAATAATGTTACAACAATAAAAACTGGTCTAAAATGGTAATTTTAGTTTCTTTATAAATATGAGAATTCTGTAGGAAGAATTTAAAACTGAATTTTCAATTGTCGTTAAAAATAATTTTATTGGGAAAAATGTTTCCTTCGAACGGTGTCTTTCTCAGAAAATGAGAACACATTTTTACCCTTTTATGTGCTTTCTTATGTAAGACTGATGACGTCTAGATGTAGCTGCAGATTGGGTTTATTCTATTCTGTCAAAAAATCTTTTATAACATATTTGTATATTTTTTCGAGTTTCTATAAAAAGACATTTGATTCATTTCATTGGCCGTTTGAAGGCCATAATTCGTGCCAAAGGTGATCAATTCGAACATGTCGAAACTTATTCTAAAATTTGATGCTATTTCGACATATTTTGCTTTTATTCAATAAAATGTAAAAATTGTGGCGTTTGTTGTCGTTTTTTCATCTCACCCTGTACAATGTACAACAATATCGACGTGTAGAGGTCGCTCAAAAGACGAAGGTTCTTATTTTTGTAGTTTTGTTTTACATGCAATAATCTACCGAGAGGAAATAGAACATATAGATGATGCTCAGGTGGTCATAAGTTTTATCAATAGCTGATCTATGATATAGTAGTGGCAGCAAAGCAATCGAATATCGTGAAAAATGTTGACAATGAGTTCTTCTATCTTCATATGGTATTAGCTATTCAAAATAATCCGGTAAATCAATGAGTGTGTAAAAACTCGACGTCTAGATGGTGACTATGTACTATTGTAAAGCACTTCCTTGTTGCAAATACTAAAATGTCGACGTGGAGATGGCGCCCAAAGCTTGGCTTCTTTTGGTGTGGCAATCTAAAAATTTTACATTTCTGGAGTCACAAATTAAATTCCGAACTTTTTTTGTTATAATGATAACCACAGAATTTATTATCAATGTGCAGATGACGCTCAACAATAGACATCAGATTAACAATTTGAATTATTGCAGAAGAAACCAATTTAAAGTTAAATCGAGAAATAGACCTCTGTCGAGAAACATAAGAGTAAAAAATATGATTGCGAAATTTGAGTGTAACAAGGTCTTATTTCTCAAACAGGTTAAAAAAATATTGATGTCTAAAAAGAGTGGAGTGGACATTTCTTGTAAAACTTGTACTCATCGCGTACCCTCAATCGCGAGTAGAATCGAGCCATCCGCAGCTCTGAATAAAACCCTATCTCAAAAAGCCTTTAGGAGAGACATAAAAGAAAGAAGATTGTTTGAGAAAGGGGTTCGAGAGCAACTAGATTTCGAGGTGTAGCGTAGTGGATCGAATCATGGCCTTTGTAAGTAAGAGTTAAAAAAGAATATTGTAAGAGACATCAAAGAAAGAAGATTGATGGAGAAGAGGAAGGTTAATAAAAAGAGTCGAAGTGAACATCAGTCTACCTGTAACTGTACTATTCCCGTAACAGAATTTATGACTGCTTCGAATCAGAGAGTTGTCGTTAGTAATAGTTCTAGAGTCGCGTAAGAAAATCACCAAAAAGAATATTGGTCGAGAAGAAGAGTTAGAAGAATAGAAGCTGAAAATTATCAGACATTTTAATCAAAAAATTGTCATAGACCTTTGAGAATAAAAACTATAGCCTGAATATGTATCAAAAATCTTCCCATGCCTTTAAGAATAGAAATGAAGATTGGTCGAGAATGTTGAGTTCTTACAAAAATATAAGGCGAATCTAAGGGCTGCGTCGTCGTGTATCTCTGAAACGATCACAGAAATTAAAACTGAATAAAATTAAAGAACCGTTATGGACCTTTGATAAGAAAAGTGATGGAACCTTTAAAACGTGTGAAAAATTCCTCCAAAAAGGCTTTAAAAATACACGTGATTTTTGTTTGGGAAATTTTCAGATTTCAGAAAATCGAAGTTTAATAATATTGCAATATTTTGAGAATAAATTAAAAAATGCATTTTCGAAATTTTTATTTTGCAATCAGAAATTCTTTCAACTGCTGTCTGTATTTTATTAAATATATATAACAAATATATATATATTTTTTGACTTTTATATATAAACTCTGCTTGAATTACTATTTTGTTTTGAATTATATATGTATGTATACGAATGAACTATGTACAAGGTATGTTTTTGTTAATTATTTTTTTACTGAATTCTCTTTCTAAAATAATTTGCAGTTTTGTTTTTGGAGAAAATAATATTTGACTGAATTGTTGTGACTGGTATTAGAATTTAGTTATTTCATTTATTTTGGTTTTTGTATTAGCAAATTTGTTTTTTTTTTATTTTGTTTTTAATTTAATATTTAGTAATAATAATAATAATTTGTTAATAATAATATTGTTTGTTACTTGTATTTTTTTTGCTTCTTTGTTCATTAAAGAATGGTCGTTTTTTATGTTAAAGTGTTTGTTTTTTTATTTATTTATTTATTATATTTTTTATACTTAAAAATTACATAATTTGTTTTATAATAATTATAATTTATATTAGGTTTTTTTTATTATAGTTTATTTTTTATATAATAATAATAGTAAATATTAACTATCAAGTTTTTGGTTTTTTTTGGTTTTAATAATAAATTATTTTTTTTACTCTGATTTTGTTTTACTTCTCAAGGAGTAATAAAGATTTTTATTATATATATATTTATGTGTATATATATTTGTTTTTTTTTCTGTTATGTTCAATGACTGGTTTTTTTGTTTTGTTTCTTTGTTAAGTTAAATTTAACAAATATTTTTTTATTATTTTTATTATTATTTTTAATATATTACAAAGGTTTTTTTGGTTTGAAGATTTATTTTTTGTAGTTTCTTTTTTTGTCATACATTTCATTTTTGTTTTTTTTCAAAGTTGTTGTTGTTGTTGATTTTTGACTAAATTTAATTTGTGGTATTAAATGCAATTTTCTTGTTTTTTTACTTCTTCAAAATTTTTATTTTTATTATTTTTTTTTAATTTCTTAAGATTCATTCATGTTGTTTGTTTTATTTTTTTAAGCCGTTTTTTTGTTCTTCTTCTTAGAGTTGTTGTTGTTTTAAACCTTTAAATGTCCTGATTTGTTAGATTAATTTCATTTTTTTCTTTTATTTTTTTTTTGCTTATGTTTTGTATGTTCGTATGTAGATGTATTGAAATGCTCTCAATATTTTCCTTTTTATCTATATATATTTAATAAAAAGAAAAAATATTTTCTTCGTTTCGTATTCAATGATCCTCTGCGTTGTTGTTGCTGCTGCAGTTTCAAACATGGTATCGCCATATGAGCCTCAAGATTGATGGTTTTTGGGTAAAGCCTTTTTATCATCATCATCATCACCATCCTTAGCATCATAGTTTTCATCATCATCATCGTCGCTAATAATCATTAGATTTGTTTTTATCCAATATTAGGTCGCTAAGTGGCAGACATCTGGAAAATTCAGAAAATTTATTAGAAATTTTGTTAAGGAAAAATTAAAAAAAAATCCAAATAAAATCCAGAAAAATATTTATGTTCATCATGTGTGACAAAAGTTTACAGAAAAATGGCTGGAAATGCTTAAAAATATTTTACAATTATTTATATAAGTTTTTAAAGATTTTTATGTTATTCCTTAATTATTTTTTTTTATCATATTCTGTTTTTGTAATAAAATACAGTTTTTTTTTTAAATTTAATGAATTTTTGCTTCAAGAAAATATTTTACATTTAAGAAATATTTTACATTTTAATATATAAGAAAAATAATTAATTTTTTTAAACTATTTTAATGTAGCATTAATTTTTTACATAAATATTGAGAGTTCTTTACCAAAAAATATTATATTATTATAAATAAAAAAATATAAACTAATACTGAATATAACAACCTCATTATTTAGCAAAATGTTAGGAAGTATTGGCTTTGGGTTTTTATTTAATAAAAACTGATTTTTTCCAAAAAAGAAAAAAAAAAGATTCTGAACCACTCTGAGACATGAATGTATCTATCAGTTGTAATTTTATATTTGAAGTTCGTAATGGGTGCTACAGCCTATGACAAAAAATTTCGTAAGCAGGTCCACGTCTTCGTATAGTCCCCATATAACGGTGCCTCCCGATATTCGGTATTTTCATGATTTTAAGGGACATTATTTAATTTAAATTTCATATTTAAAGTTCGTAATGGATAGTACAGCCTATAACAAACATTTTTGTATGCAGGACCACTTCTTTGTATAACCCCTATATAACGGTAGCTCCCCATATTCGGCATTTTGATGATTTCAGCAACATTATTCACCGGAATCGTTTCAAATTTCGTATTGGGAGATCTTAACGGTTACTACAACCTATGGAAAAAAAGTTCTATGCAGGTCTACGTCTTCCATATAACCCGATATTCGATATTTTCATGATTTTAGCAACATTATTTACAGGAATTTGAAGATACCTCCCGATATTCGGTATTTTTATGATTTTAGCGACAGTATTTACCGGAATTATTTTAAATTTCATATTTAAAGTTCGCAATGGGTGCTACAGCCTATGACAAAAATTTTCGTAAGCAGGTCCACGTCTTCGTATAGTCTCCATTATATAAGTTTTTATTTAAGTGGTAGCTTCCGGCAGTTTTTTGAAAATTTTCAAGTTCCTTCCAAATGGTGGAGGGTAATATAAGTCGGACCCGGCCGAACTTAGGTGCTTTTTTACGTGTTTTTAATTGATTGTACCATCATACGATGGAGGCTATATTAAATTTGTCATTCCATTGGTCATCTGGTACACAATAAACCTGAAATCGGATAATGATATATATAGGACCTATATCCAAATCTGATTCTTTCTCTATAAAATCTGACAGTGGTATTTCCGGGCTGTATTTTATATCTGGTACCAAATATTATTCTTCTTAAATTTAATGTACTTGCTTCTAGGCTAAATTCAAACGGATGTGCCAAAATGCAGATCAGTTGGACTGATTGGCCATTTGATATTGGCAAATTAACCCGAAATCGGTTGAAGATATATATGGGAACTATATCTAAAAAAGAATCGATTCTCACCATATTTCATATTCTCCATTATATAAACAATTTTAATTAAGGATCTCCTGACTGAAATATGTTGAGATTCTAGGAATATTTCTAGTTGCAACGATTGAAGAAAACATTTTCAAGCACCTCCCGACTTTAAATCGTGAATTTCGTATAAAAATTACAGATTGAAGAAGAAATTTTGGGAATATTGAAGAAAATATTTTCAAGGGCCTTCCGACTTAACATTGCTAATTTTGTGCCATTTTTTTCAAGGACTTCCTGTTTTAAAATCGTAAATCATTTAAGAACATTTTTGACGAAAATGATTAATAAAATTTTGAGAAAAATTTCTTCAGAGACCTCCTAACTAAAAATCGTGGATTTTGAATAACAATTTCCAAGAACCTTCTGATATAAAATCGTAAAGTTTCTAGAAATATTTTTGAAAAGTCTGAAAATTGTGGAATTTGTAGAGTTAATTTCACGAAATTATCTTGACGAAAAAATTTCAAGTATTTTGAAGAAAACATTTTCAAAAACCTCCCGACTTAAAATCGAAAAATTTTCTAAGACCTTAAAATCGTGAATCCTCAAAAATATTTGTGACAAAGTCTTCCTAGATGAATTTTGGAGTCACATTTGTTCAAGGACCTCCTACTTGAAAATCAAGGATTTTTAAAAAAATATTTTTAAGGACATCTTGACTAAAAATTGTGCATTTTTAAAAATATTTTTAAAATGGTCTTCGTAGAAAAATATCGTTGAATCTGTTAAAAATAGCTTGAAGAAAAAATTCAATGATCCGACTTAAAATCATAAATTTTGTAGACATATTTTTCAAGGATCTCCTGTATTTTGAAGAATAAGTTTAAAGAACCTCCTGACTTAAATACGTCGAGATTTTCAAGGACCTTAAAATTTTTAATTTTTTAGATTTTTTTTTTCGAGGACCTGCTGACTGAAAATATAAATATTTTTAATCGAATATTTTTAAAAACAGTCTTCCTAGAAGAAAATCGTAACTTTGGAGGAACACTTGTTCAAGGACTAAAGAACATTTTCCAAAAACATTTACAGAAAAGTTTTCACAATTTGAAGGAAAAATTTTCAATTATTTTGAAGAAAATATTTTTAAGGACCTTCGGGCTCAAAATAGTGAATTTTGGATTTTCAAGGATCTCGTGCATATTGAAGAATAAGTTTCAAGGAATTCTCGACCTTAAATGGTAACTTTTGTGAAAAATGTTTTCAAGGACGTCCCGACTTAAAATCGTTGAACTTTTAAAATATTTTTTAAAAAGTCTTCTAAGGCTAAAATCGTTAATTTTTAAGAAATTTTGTTCAAGGACCAAATTGAAAATCGTGGATTTTGAAGAAGCTCCTGACATAAAATCGTTAAGTTTCTAAGTCTTTCTAGAATTTGTAGAAAAAATTCAACAGATTGAAGAAAAAGTTTCAAAGTTTTTGAAGAAAACGTTTTTGTGGACCTTCGAACTTAAAATCGTGAATTTTGTAGACATTTTTTTTTTCAAGGATCTCTTGGCTGAAAATTGTGGATTTTGAAGAATGATTTTCAAGAACCTCCTGGATTTCATAAACATATTTTTAAAAAGGCCTTTCTAACAACAACAAAAATTTGTGGAATTTTAAAATATCAAGGATTTTGAAGAAAAGATTTTCTAGAACCTTCCGACTTAAAATCGTAAATTTTGTAGATAATTTTTAAAGAACTTCTTACTGAAAATCGTGGACCATTTAAGAATATTTTTGACAGAGTCTTCCTAGGAGGAAATCGTTGAACCTTGTACAAGGACCACCTAACTAAAAATGGGGAATTTTAAAAAATAATTTTCAAGGACTTCCCGACTGATAATTGTTTATTTATAAAATCAGGGTTTCAAGGACTTCCTGAAGGAAAAAAATTATTGTTTTTCCTTAAAATACGAATTGATGCCCTAAGAATTACAAAGAGGTGGTACCTTGGCGGGTCCTTTTTTAAGAGTACTTTGAGGTATTCCTCATAGTCTGTCGATACGAAAAGGGAATCAGGAAATTTAACAAATTTTGTCTTGGATATGTAATAACTTGTGCGAAAATTTAAAAAAGTTTTTTTTTAATTTTTTGAATATAAGAAAAAATATTAACTTTTGAAATATAGCATCTCTTATTTTTTATATACATATATACTACATATTTATATAATAAATAATATACCAATATGTCAAATTTTCTTAAAACTATAAACTTGAAATTATTTTAAATATTTAAAATACATAAAGATTTTTTTTAATGTTAATGTTTTAATGTTTTTTAATTTAATTTTCCAAATATTTTTTTTGTTATGGTTGACTTTTTACAAAATTATTTTCAATTTTTCTTTTTAAATGTTATCCCTAAAATAAAAGACATTGGTGCTCTATTAACAAGGTGCTCCATGGCTCTAGCTAATACTGGAAAACTGTAGAAATAAAAAAATGTTAACTCACGTTATCCTTTCCTTCTTCTTCTTCATCATTTTCTCTTCATAATAAGTATGTATGTGTTTGAGTTTATAAAAAAGTGTTAAATTCGCTGTTCGTATGTGTGTGTGTTATGTTGTTTCATTGTATGTGTCTGATGTGATTCGGTAAGAATATGGTTGCCATCATTGTAGGATAGATAATTCGTTAGTGTTTCAAGTGGCATAACAACCTTTTATTTGTGATTGTTTGTTGTTGTTGTAGTTGTTGGTGTTTGTTTTCCCGGGAGTGTAGCTGAGTTTACTTACAACGACCCTGTCTGTGTTCTTATCAACATTTATTTGTCATTTCTATTTTCTTTTCTCATTGATTTTCTTCTTCTTCCGGTATGGCATCACCAGCTAACCAAACACAGGGGCGACCCTAGGGATTTGAAAATTTATAAAGAGAATTCAATTAATTTATATCATATATGTGTGTGTGAAGAGGAAACTATATCAACTGTTTGCGCTTGACTGCTGATCTAAAGTTGCGTCTATTTGAAGGGGACGTCATAACCTTTAAACTCTCCGACTAAAATCTTGAGGATGAATAATACCTAGAGGATGATGTATTAGCACTTGTCGGTTTTCTTTCTTCTAAAGTGGAATTTTAAATATAATTTTAGAACTAATTTGTTTTATTACTAATTTTATTATAATTTTAAAATGATTTTTAGCATTTCTAGCCATTTTTTGTATCTAATTTTTTTTGCTATAATTTTTAAAAATTATGTTTTCTTTTTATGGGTTTGATGTTCACATGAATATCTTCCTAGACGATATTTGGAAATTCGATTTGATTAAACATTGAGTGGGGAAAAAATTGTCATATAAAATGAATGTTAATGTTAAAATGGTGTTATTAGTGAAAAATGTTTTATTAATTAAATGGCACATTAGGTATTGAAGGG